GGAAAAAAAGTGATACGGTCAATAAATCAGTGGCCGTAGCGTGTCCGACGCCCCTGCTTGCATACCTCTCATTATAGAATTTCTAGTGGAGTTCATCCTTTTAACGAAACAGCTGTCTAGAGGCGTGGAAAAATGTTATCTCTCAACGAAAGTGTCCTTGCTGGTTGTGACGAGTTGGGAATGCAATAAATTTCATCCTGTTAGTTTTAGGGATATAGTCATTAGTCATTGATATGCCGGTGGTACATGAGAATTGATGATTGACATCAATTTAGGGTTGGCTATAAACGATAGCCTTAGCATGAAATTCGGAATCCCCAACAAGAAATTGGTTCTCTGAGTGTAACAATTGACATAACGGCCACCTTGGGAAAAATGACCCTCGATCATGCATGAGAAAAGTGACGTTATTCATGAGGTTGTAAGCATGCAGTCCAGTGGTCACTAGTTTTAGGAAATTAGAGGCCACATGCCACGTACTGCTCTTTTCTCTCCGAAACTGCTCAACACTTCCAAGCCAGATATGAAAGAAAGAAAAAATCATCAGTCACACCACCGGGACTCGAACCAGGGACCTTGCTATTCATTTCCTAAAACTTTGAAATAATTCTCCGTGAAGTCCAAATTTGAAAGGGGTCACTAGGACTGAAGATTGTGTCGGTATTCGCGAGTTGTTGTTATACCGTATTATCTATAAGCACAGTCTCCAATAATAGCACGTCTCCAATAATACAACACCTTGGGGCGGCATTCAAAGTGCTCAGTCTCCATTATAAGCACACTGTGTAAATTCATTATCTGTACCGGCGAAAAAACCCTGAAATGTGTGTGTCTGACATGAATTTGGCATGGCAACAAGCCTCTGAAATGAGGTTGAAATAATAATGGAACAGTCTCCAATAAAGGAACGTCTCCAATAATAGCACGGGGCGGAGGTACATTGAAAAAATAAAGGACCGTGCTTATATTAGAGATAATACGGTACCCGGGGTCATTGTTCATGAGGTTCACTGTACGTGGATTGAGCTTATCGCCATGAATACGCCGAGGCATGTGTCAGCTATCCGCATGCAGAACAGCTTGAGCGATCCAACGCATTCCCTGTAGGGGCTTCGGCTGGCTTTCGCTATCTCGGCGAGAAAGCAAACAGACGAAAAATATGTTTGTTCCAATTCAAGTCTTGCGCCAGATTCAGATTCATACTGGAAATTTGCTAGAATATGTATTGTTACCAAGTACTAGTTTTTTTTTAAATTAATAAATCAATGAATAAAACTGTGAGCGCACCCATATCACAATCATAGCGATAAATCTGTTGCTATGAGTGTGATATGAGTGCGCACACAGTTATATCAGCAGTTAGTCCATGAGCTGGCTAATGTTGGGTTACGGGGCACTGTATTGCAGTGGTTTGCAGATTATCTGTCATGCCGCAGTCAACAAGTAATAGTCAATGGCGAGCATGGTGAGACTGTGCCTTGTGCCAGGGGCGTCCCGCAAGGGTCAGTCCTGGGTCCTCTGCTCTTTTGCATTTATATTTGCAAGGTACCGGAAATTCTCAAGCACGGCATGTCACAACTCTATGCTGATGACATTGCCTTCTTCATCATCGGACTGGACCTTCCTGCTATGTTACAGGGCCTCCAGGACGATCTTACTGCCCTGGAGGTCTATTTAGATCGGTTGTCTCCACGTTGCCTGATAGTTTTTGTTTTTTTGTTTTTCTGTTCACTATCTGTTGTGTGCGACCAAGAAGACTGGGTTGTAGGTGGAACATGTAAGGAAACTCATTCTAGCAATCACACCGCTAGCTGCTGATTAGGCTGGTTGGCTGTTTTCATTTCCATTCGAATTCACAAACCAAGCAGGCTGTACAGATCCAATGACCAGGAATTGCACTGACGCCAACGCGTGGAATGGAAGAAAGTGCAAGCAGTCATGTTTCGGAAATTCTCTCCGCGATTCATTCCAGGCTGCGTCTATCTCCCATGCTCTTTGGTGAGGAGCAAGTCTCAGTGAGGGAGCGTGTTTGTTCTGCATGCTTCAAGTCAAAACTAATTTCTAACATGCGTGCGCTTTTGATTGTTTAGTAACTGGTGGAGTTAGTAGACAGTATAGCGTAACTTGTAGTTCCATGGTCCTTTTTCTTTTCTATAAGCGTATAGACCTACACGGTTGTTTTTTCTTTAAAATGAACTTTCATACTCCACACAGTTCGTGATAATTTTGACGAGCAGAGGAGTGCCGTGGTCCTCAGATGTAACAATGACACCGTCCATATGTTTGCAGTACAGTATCATCATAGTAATAACTGCATTTAGTGCAACGGTTGTGAGCAGCTACATCGTCAGGACCATCAGGTACAGTCAGACCTCGCTTAACCGCACACATTCGTTTCCACAAAAAATATCCGGATAGGCGAGGGAACCGGATAAGCGAACACACATACTGTATGTATGCATGACATATGATGTAAATCGGTAACGAACGATTTTTTCTTCCGGATGGCGAGGGATCCGGATAAAAGAGGACCGGATACGCGAGGTCTGACTGTACCTTGAAAACAAGGATCAATCAAAATTGAAGCAACCCTGTTGACCCCTTGGGTAGTACTATGTCCAGAAACAGGCCGATAAATGAAATCCGGAGTTCAGGTACAGTGATCTATACTGAAGTACGTTGGGATAAGAAGTACTGTCGTGTACATAGTCATTGAAGTCTGATGGGATGACCCGGGCCGGCCGACCCTCACTGCTTCTAGCGCTTACATGCCCTGCAGCTCACGTACACACAGTAAAAAAAATTGGCCAGCAGTGTCCGTGGCTGCAAGGCCAGAGTCCCGTGGCCGCTTGACTTCTCAACGGATTCCAATGTCCGCTACAGTACCTCGGACACTGCACTTTCCTGCTGCCCATGGGGGTTCAGTAAAACCTGTCAAGGTGACCACTCGGATAAGGCAACCACCTGTCCAAGAAGATCACTGAAACCAGGATCGAGGGATGCCATTTCCAGTCAAATGACCCTGGATAAGGAGACCACCTGGTAACAGAGACCCCGTTTTGAAGGTTCCTTGAGCGGTCGTATTAGACAGGTTTCACTGTACATCTTATCAGAGTTCCATTGTACCAATACGTTTCAACTCACTGATGAAGCGAATAGCACTTCAACACAACCAAAATAACTCCAAGATGTCTGCAAGAATCCCATCATTGTGTATGACCGGCGTCTTTAAACTAGCCAGATTCTGTCCTGTACGCGTGTCCTTTCGTGCAGGATAAGTACCTGCACCTGTTTATCATGAACACGAGTATTACAGTTTGGTGAAGGTGATCTAAAACGGGGTGTCCTGATAACGCAAAGAAACATTACCACTACGCAGGCATGTACATGTACAACCTCAAAACTGGCGAAGCAAAGATGGAACTCTCTATGTACTAAGCTGCACATGCATCTTGTCTAGCTAACTGAGGTGTAGGGCTTGAAAGTGATGACGTCAAAAACGGCCAGGGAGTAGTAAGTTGACATCAGATTTCTATTTTGGATCCACTAAGGTGTGACTTTGCTATTGCCTCAGTATGTGGGTGCATAGCAACCCACTCATGTCGTATGCAGGCGTGACTTTTACTTCTTACATGACACGTGACCGTATCCTAGGAATTGTCTAATCACCACCTTTCCCGCCGCGGGCATGATTCAGCCATCATGCCCGCTGCCCTTGGCAACACTGACGTCACTTCAGGTATGATTGACAATCATGCCCGTGGTCAAGTGGCAACGAGATGTAGCCAATAATGTGACAAGGCGCGGGTTTTGAAGAAAGAAGTGGAAGTGCATGTAGAAAGGAATGTCGCTTGTCTTCTTGACTCTTGTTACTTCGTGTGTTCTGGCTGTGACTAGTGCAGAGTGACTTTTCGCCGAACTGTGCTAGTCTTTGGCTTGTTTCAATGTTTGAGTAGGCTACGTTCCGTGCGTGCGCATGGGTCAAGTAAGAAATCCAATCATACACGGTCTGTCGGGCTTGCTGACTGAATCATGCCCTCGGGCTGGGAGCTCAGGCATGATTCAGCCATCAAGCCCTCCAGACCGTGTATGATTATATACTTCGCCACCAGTTGTCACCCCGCCCCCAGTAGCCAAATCAGTCAGTTTCACTGGCTACATCACCTTGCTGTGAGTAAGACCGCTTGAAATGTGCTTGGATCCATACAAAAAACTGGATCCAAGTGGATCCGTTTTTGAATTTTTGAAATTGTTGCTATGCTGTGACGTAGCACTTTCAAGCCCTATTGAAGTGCACTAGCCTGGGGGCGTATAGTGACTGATTCATGGCATGTCTGGGAACCAGGGAAATTTAATCGTCTGTTCACTTTCATTGGTAAGAGGATGCACAAAATATTACGAGTTACGACTAAATTCGAGTTCTTCGCATCTTTCGAGCCACGCAAGTTGTGTGGAATGTTGTTTTGTATACTGGAATCATGGTTTGACCGTATTGTCCAATGGTCTTGCCAGTATCGTCATCGACATGCATGAACATCCGCCAACGTCCTTCACAGCTGAGACTTTCAGCTCATGCTTATCTCGGTTGCGCTCGCCTTCCCCTTCTTATGTTATCATATAACTTAGAACCTTCCAAGTTGGAAGGCTGTTGGAGTGCGCATCCAAGATGTGCTAGAGCTGTTAGCCAGTTAGTTGTAGAACGCCAGTACCGTCGGTCAGTGTCGTGCAATGTTATCGCATGAGCTGATTGTTTAGTACCTGGTGGTGTTAGTGGACATTATAGCGTAACTTGTAGTTCCTTGGTCCTTTTTCTTTTCTATCAAATTGTTAATTTTCTTTTACAAAACAACATGTTACTACTACAGGCTGAAAGCAGGCATGAAGGATTCAGAAAGCTTGGAACCACTCTGGATCTCCTCCCCCCCCCCCCCCCCCCCCCACAGACACACACAAGGCTGTGCCCCTGTGCACAAACCCAAGCAAGTCATGGCTGTACTTACATACTGAACGGCAAGCTGGTTATCCAGGCTCAGATACAACGCTGCCAGGGACACACAACAGCAGCAAACAATTCGTCACCGGGGACAATACACCGGCAGCACCAACATGACGTACGAGGTCATTTGCTATTTTTGGACACTCAAATTAAATAGCACCCCATTATGTTGGTTTGTAAGATAAATTAAATTTCTTTCTTGCTTTTGTACTGGCACACTTATGCTTTACCACCACCACACACGCCTGAAGGCATAGAGGTGAAGCATGCGGCCACAACTTGACCTGATCGAAGGTGTCTTTTTCTACTGCTTTTTCAATGCGAGCAATTATTGGACAACTAAATTAAATAGCATCTAGCAGCAGTCTGCAATGGTGTGAACAAGTAAAACTTGCACAGGACATGAAATGGGGTAAGGCTAGGCTATGAGACCGGCTGATATGAGTTCTAATGACAGGCCGTGCATAGCAAGCTTTTCAAGGCTTTTCAATGAGACACACAATTTAAAGGGTCTCTCAAGGGTTTTCATGGACGTCATATTCAAGACCAGAGGAGAGCACTCCAGTGTGGCCCATCTCCTTCTCATATTTCGCAAAGAGTGGAGGGCTAGCGCCGTAACTAGCCGCTGCGTCCTTCTTGGTTAGGAAGTGTTCACTGGTGCCAGGTGAGTGGAACGCTCGCACTGCTAAAAGAGATTTCTCCTGACCAGAACCCCTCCACAAACGCACCGGTTGAGAAGGCGAGGAGACTCTTCCAGGCGGATTCGAGCTGGAAGACGTAGTCCCTGGAGTTGATGGAAGGGATACAACATCCCCCATGTCGACTCTCTCCGTTATGCGACGTAGAGTCAACGGAATCCTCAATCATTTATTATTTAATCAAAATTTTCAAAATTACTCATTACATTACCTAAGAATAATGAAGAAAACGCCCAGAAAGAAACGGCCTTCACCGCTAAAAATTGGCACGAAGAAACTTGAGGACCACACGAAGACACTCTTGTCAAAGATTTGTCCACCAAGGAAAGGACAACGACTCAGGAGGACTCTACTTCCGTATTTAACTGATTTGTCCAAAAATTGCGACATGTCCAAAAATTGCGAATCACCTCGTACAGATAGGAGATACAACACACCCATGGCATCTCCCTCGCTCTCTCTCTCTCTCTCTCTCGCTCTCTCTCTCTCTCTCTCTCTCGCTCTCTCTCTCTCTCTCTCTCTCTCTCTCTCTCTCTCTCTCTCTCTCTCTCTCTCTCTCTCTCTCTCTCTCTCTCTCTCTCTCTCTCTCTCTCTCTCTCTCTCTCTCTCTCTCTCTCTCTCTCTCTCTCTCTCTCTCTCTCTCTCTCTCTCTCTCTCTCTCTCTCTCTCTCTCTCTCTCTCTCTCTCTCTCTCTCTCTCTCTCTCTCTCTCTCTCTCTCTCTCTCTCTCTCTTACACACACACACACACACACCGCAAAGTTCTGGTGACAAAGGGAAACACGGTGAAGTCACAGTTTATACTCTTCTTCTGGTGATAGGGGTCCCTCGGGTCTGTACAGCACGGTATGGATTACTCAGTAAGTGCATTAAGTGATGCAAACACGCAAACTGGCGGTGCCACTCCGGCTTAGAGCAGATACATACACGTGAAGGCATGTAATAATTCATTGTGCAGTATCCAAGGATGGGAACACGGGAAGGAGTTTCACTGACATACTGAATGAGTGAGCGGGAGGGAAGGACGGAGGGAGACGAAACAGAGGCAAAAGGAGAGAGAGAAAGAGAGAGAGAGAGAGAGAGAGAGAGAGAGAGAGAGAGAGAGAGAGAGAGAGAGAGAGAGAGACAGAGAGAGACAGACAGAGAGAGACAGAGAGAGAAGACACACAGAGAGAAAGAGAGAGAGAGACACACACACACACACACACACACGCACGCACGCACGCACATATAAAGACACAAAGACAGAGCAGCAGAAAACTCACGGCCATTGATGGAGGTGAAGCTCTGCAGACGAAGAGACGTGCTCTGCCTAGACTCGCGCTCATTAGACCTGAAAGAAAGACACATGAGTACGAGTCTCATTATCCGCTGGTAACATAACACTAGCGCAGTTGCCAGCAGCAAATGCCATATTTTCTCAGCTCACTTTCACACTGTACCATTCCAAGTATATGGACATACAGTGCGTATGGGGTATAGTGTGGTTGTGTAAGTATATATTATGGCATGGTTGGGAGGGCAATAATGGATTTTCAGTGCCCGACAAGTGAGCCCGAGGGCCGTAGCCCCGAGGGCTCACTTGGAGGGCACTGAAAAGAATATACTGCCTATAAGAATGAAATCTCATGTTTTCATAATCAGAACATGGGTATCAAGTGCACATTTATTCTTACAAGCAATTTTATCGTACAAATAGAATATTATATCGGTCCTAAGAACGGACTTTGTGTAGCGAAACATGCCAGATTAGTACAACGTGTATCGCCTGTAGTAAAAACAACTGTCCAATGCAGTTCTGATCTGACTTGGGTTGCGACGTGGTGCTGCAGGTTCAACTGTTGTGGTCATGTAACTCATGTTGCATAGCCACATGGTAAGTCTATGGGACTATGACCAGCCGCGTGCACAGTAGCACTACCTTGAATGTACCATGAGCTACCTGCCTCAGCGCACATGCATTATCATATGCCACACTTGATTTATCGTGTGTAAGAAATATCGGAAATAAGAAGAGAAAGTCGTTTTTCAAACACCCACGCTATAACCGATACGTACTGTATTGCAAAGGGCACGTTTCACTATAGATGTGCAAGCACACGCATGTTTTCAGCTAAAATTCAACTAGTGACACCCCCCCCCCCCCCAAATTATTCACGGTTCACGTCAGACTCGGCTAGAGGCCGAGTTTTCCGCAACCGTAGGAACGCCACCACCCTTCAAGGACACCGCAATCTGAAGTTCAAAAGCAGTAACACCCAGACATTTCATCTGACCTGTCCATCTGCTAGTACTTGATTCTGCGGCTGACCACCACAGAGTGGTCTAGACTATAAAAGGTGAAAGCAACCAATGATAGAAGTAACGACAAGCAAAACAACAAGGATGAGGACCTAGAACCCGGTCCGGTGTACATGTACTTATATTCGAGAATGCCGAAGACTTCCAACACCTTAGGCAGCAAGCTGAAAAACGACGAGTATGGGTCAACTGAACGGCTGGAGCATTCGGATGTGTGAAATGATACCAGGCGTACGTTATAATATTTCGCTCCTGCTCGTGTACATGTAGTAGTTGAGCACTCTCATGTGGGGTAGTGCCTTTGCTGTTTGCGTTATGCAGAGCTCACTGACTCCTCAGTTCGAGCACTCCGGCAAGGTACGTTCAGGCCTGGTTTGTTTCTGGCTTGGGAGAATATTTTTTCATTGCTATCAGGTTCAGCCTCATTTTCTCTGCGCTGCGCTGATGAGTCTACAAAGGATGAAATAGTTCTGTCAGCAGATGGAGTAGAATACCTTTTCGCATCTGACGGCTCAAATAACATATTTTATTATTATTTGTGTACGGCGCCAGGGCTCACCGCACAACCATCTGCTGTCCGACCAGTGCACCAATGTCATGCGAGAGCACGTGAGCCGAGTCGACGCCGAGGTGATGCAGCAACGCCTCGACGATCTCCGCCTGGCCATCCATGGTGTAGTCATAGAACGCCTGCACAGCCACCATCGCACACAGGCAAGAAATCATCAAAGAAAATAGTACCACTCGTGAAATATGGACAAAGAACAAATACACGTGTGAGACAGGCAAGACAAATGTCACGGTCCTCATGAGAATCGGCTAGAGACCGAGCTTTCCGCATCTGTATGAACGCCATCACCCTCAAGAATCAAGGCGCAGATGCAAGAAACCGTCAAGGAAAATAGCGCACATCAATTAGGGACAAAGAACAAATACCGTGCGCGAACATTAAGCACATGCCATGGAGAGAGTGTTACAGAAAAGCGAGTAAACCCTGTTTACTAAACGGGACGCCGGTGTATGGCCTAACTTGTATGTACTGACTTCATTCCGTGCGTCTTCTGCTACTGGATAGCTAGAACACATTGCCATAAATACACAATATTTCGGCAGCTATTTAATTTTGGCTATATACGGCACCGACCCAAAACGCCGAAATTAAAACGCTAATGACATTTTTTTTCACATTGGTTTTTGTGATGTACTACATGTAGTATTACCCCTGTGCCAAAAATAAATCGCTGCTGAAACATCGAATATTGTGAAATGCTGAAATGTTGCTGCGCCAAAATCTTTTGTACATTGACAGTATTATCCTGTATCAGGATATGGGTACCTTGTGCACATAGGGATGGGTGGAGGCTACACTGGGTGCGCGTCTGCCCAACGAATAACTGGAGACTAACCGGTTTGTCGCTGAAGCCAAACCCAAGCTCCTCCGGGATGACAATCCTTGAGTACAACTCCTGCAAGCCTGGCAGCATCTAATAAGCATGACAACACAGATTCAGCACAGTCAGCAGAGTCAGCAAAAAAGAGACCATGATTGGCACATATGAAGCGGCATAGCCAAACTGAAAATGCAGTAGAGCAACGGCATGCCTGTGCTTGAAGGCAGTCCACTTCGCTGCGCCTTCTTAAAACATACACACTGACTCAACAGAGTAAGTGCACAACTGTGCACAACCGTGTACGCATGCATGCACACACACACACACACACAGTGATATTATTGACCATTGACCATTTGACGCCCATCGCCAGAGGCGATGATAGCGATGCTACAGCAGAAGCCATAGCAACTTGTGCTGGGATTGCACCATTCAACAGCTTGCAAGGCTGAAGAATGACACACACACACACACACACACACATGCGCGCGTGTGCACACACACACACACACGTGCGCGCGCGCAGGTACACAGACACAGAGCCAGCCGCGGACACGCACGTACCAAGCTCCAGTCAATAGATCCCATTGGAAAGCCGTGCAACAGCACCGCTGTTCTGTTCTGGGGTCCATCACCGTGTGTGTCTACATCACAAAACGAAGAAAACATGCAAATAGCAAATTGTGTTATGTTTGCCGGTAAAAGAGGTTTTCACAGTGTAAACAGCAATGGATACAAGCTGATAATGCCGGGATGTATGTCAAGGAATTCAAACTTGGGCTTTCTCTCCACGTGTATCGTACTGATTCCGTCACCTCTTGTTCTCTTCTTTTTTTTCTCTTCTCACTTTTCCTTCTCATTTTAAATGCAAACGCTTTTAGTATAGTGTACAATGCATGTTTTGATTCCGGTACACCATCGTGATATCCACTATACCACTCCATCCGACAATACTGGTTATTTTTGACTGGCGATAAAACATTTTCCTTTTGATATTTTGCTAGAATGTACGATGATTATTATGGTTCTCACCATATTACCTTTTCAACTTGATGAATATTACCTTTTGAATTTCAACTTGATGAATAATACATACCGCACTTCCGCGCACAAAAGCACATTAACTTTGATACCAGCGAACAGTAGCTGTGTTGGCAGATTGGAGAGTTCATTTTTGCTGCTCGCGTATAAGCACGTGATTTTAGTACGGACGCACAGCGGATCGTAAAATGCACATGGCCCGTCATGGGTGCAGAGACCAGTCTGCACTTTCACATGTGCTGGTAGAGTTTGCATGGGCATTTCCTGACAGTAAAAAAAAGAAGAAGAAAAAAAGTATCGTGTCCGTTCCCGAAGGGAACTCACAACGACCGCTAAGTGGCCATTCACACGACATGCAAACTCACTTTTATCGTACCGTTTCCAAGGATATTTACTGGCATACGATAAACTTGGACACACGCGTGCAACTGATTTTTTTAACTTGGTCGGGGCCCTTGTGCTCACGATTATACTTTGCACGCCAGCAAAAGTGTCGGTTGTTGAAAGTGCGTACTGCAAATGCAGTTCTTTAACAAAGGAAAATTTAAAATTCCCCGGCATTTTCAGGTCACTATGGATGCATTGACGTGTGCAAAGTTTGCCCAGCACCGTGTGAACTGGTTCACGGTTTGCCAGTGTTATCTTGGTCATATGCGTGCAAATGTTTGCACATCGTGTGAATGGCCTATTACACCCGGTAAACCTTTTCTTGCCAGACTTGGGTGAAAAGTGATTCTGACATATCGATGTCAGTGTGTCAACTGGCGAATTATGTAATAAACTGCCCGGTGCTAACTGGAATCGAGTGATTGTTTTGTTCATAATTTTAGCACAGCCATGTGCTTAGGGGCCGTCCAAGGTTACCAATAATATTTTCAAAACGAAATGTTTTCGTTTGTGGGTGGGTGGGTTTGATGGAGTTTCGTTTTGAAAATAATTATTGAATGCTGATGGAGAATGCCCAGTTACTTCTGGGTGTCGAAAATTGACATCAATATTTTATTGGAATTCATTTTACCTGCAGAAAAGGTGGGTGGGTGGGTGGGGGCTGAAAAATACTAAAACTTTTCGTTTTGTAAAAACAATCGGTAACCCCGGACGGCCCCTTATGCAAACGTGAGCATATATTCGGATTTTTAAAAGCGCATGTGCCTTCGTTCGCAGAAGTACGGTACTATGACCACGTGAATTATTATCTTATCATTGAGATTGACTAGGAATGGAAGCCCACAAGTTTTCATTTTGTACTTTAAGTTTTTGTGTGATAAACCCTGGCTTTAGCATTCAATTTGCTACCTTGAAATTGTGAAGTTTTGACAGGGGTTGACTGCGATCGGCAGTGCAGTCGACCCCGTCCAAAACCATTTTTATCGGAAGTGCTGAAAAATTACGAAACCTTTGTGCCTTTGTGTGAAACCTTTTGAAGCAAGAAGAGCAGCAAACAAACATGCCCATTCAAATCTCATGTCAATAATATTGATTCCCAAGAAATGTTCATAGAAATTTGACACTGAAAGTAATTGAAAAAATTATGGAATTTTACCGGTGCGCCGGTGCCGTACCTATATAAAACACACGATGAAATTCTCCAGAACTGCTCGACTTGAAATGAAAGAAGTTCCCGCGTTGTCTGAAGGAGATGGCTGCGTCAGGCAAGGGAGGGGGTGGCCATGACAAATACACTGTAAGGACTAGCAACAGCACTAAAGTCCATTGGAGCTGCATTTTGACGGAGGGCGCAAGTCAGATTCAAACGTCAACACTGATAAATTTTGATTCTTTCATGAAAACCCCTCGCGCTATGTGCGCAAACTGAACTGAAAAATGCATCGATCGCTTTGCATTATAATTAATATAGTGATGAAAAAGCAAAATACGACGTGTTTATTTTTTACTTGGCTTACAGGGACCCGTATTGATACTCTGTATGTGTGCTGGCGCATGGCATGGCTCCTTTGTCAACAAGTGCCGTCGCGAGGTACTACAGTCAGTGATCACGGTGATGGAGACCTCTTTTCTGTCTACTGTTTGGAAACGGTCGAAGTCAGGACACGGCAACGATAACACAACAAGTAGTTACGTGCAGCAATGACATTGACAATAGTTATTTTGACATGTGCACGTGCAGCTATCAAAAGGTTACACACACGCGCCTGGATCGAAGCTTGAAAAAATTAGTTGTGACTTTTGAAGTTTTTGTCGCAGTCGGATGATGGATCGATCAGGGAGTCGAGGAGGTCGAGTCTGCACTGCACTGTCTGTCGTCGTGAACTGATCATGTCAGTGCAGTGTGTTGATCTCGCAACTCACGATCCCTCGTGCAGGACGCGTGATCGTGTTGGCCATTATGGCCATGTTGACGGTCCAACTCCAGCACCGGTGCACATCATGTCATGGGTCCGAAATGCCGCTTCTTTTCGCACATAATCATTACACTCCAGTCCATGGACAGGGTTTAGTTATAACTAAGTCTTATACTTATAGGTTCTGCAAACAGGCAATTATGTGCTCCTTCTTGCTGGATAGTTTGAGGCCGTTACGGTAACGTCAGCTCTTCTCCGACTCCACCTTTCCTCTCTCTCTCTCTCTCTTACATAATAATATATCGTTCCATTTTCAAGTTTTGTAACTTGCCAACAACAGTGGATAGGCACCATTAATTTTCTTCTCTCCGAACATCATGAACCAAAGCAAGATATCGGTCGTGCTCTTGCTCCAAGGCGTTGCGTTCTTGGCCCTGCAGCTTGTAGAAACTACACACGCAGCTGGGGTCCGGAGACAGCCTGTCCACAGCGTGAGCGGCCTACCATCAGCAACGATTAGCTACAAGGTGGACACTAGCTGGCCGAAAAACAAATCGCTAATCACCGGACAGCCATTTTCAGTGGGAGTGGACCAGGCGCTTGGCGTGGTCTACATTCTGCAACGCCAGGGCAATCATCCAGTGCTGCTGGTGAGTGCTGAGACGGGCAAGCAGGTGGGTAAGTGGACCGAAGTGGATCCATCCCCGAACAAAGTGCTGGACACTCCGCACGGTCTACGCCTCCAACAGGCTACAGCCCAGCAACATGGGCACGATGGCAGGCAAGCCGGCGGGGTGCAGAGTGTATGGATCACGGACGTGGGCAACATGACGGGCCATGTACTCAGAAGATTCACCGCGGACGGCAACCTTCAGGACATAATCGGCTGGCCTGGCAACGCAGGTAACAGCACCAACCCGTTGCAGTTCGGCAACGTGGCAGAGTTAGCCTTCGCCCATGACAAGACGTCGGCGACGGGCAACGGAACCGGCGCAGACCCGCCATACTCGTTCTTCGTTGTCGACGGCGATGGCGGTCCAAACAACCGGCTGCTGCGTATGCAGCACGGCGAGTTGCATGCGTTCAGCGTGACGTGGACGGTTGGATCGGCCGGTGGCGCTCCGGGCCAGTTTAACATTCCGCACGACGTCGACACGGACGATTTCGGGCGCGTGGTCGTCGCCGACCGCGCCAACGCCCGCCTGCAGATTCTGCGCGCCAGCGACGGCGCGTTTGTCCAGGAACTGACGTGCACGCAGCCGTCGCAGCCGTACGGTGTGCGTTTCCTGCCGCAGACGACGGCCGATGTTGTCTACGTTGCCGTCACGTTGCTGCAGGATCACAAGCTCAGCGTCATACGCCAGGACATGTCGTCAAAGTCGCAATGTGAGGTCGTGGATACCGTGTCGTTCTCCAACAGCTCCAGTCCGCACCTACTGGACGTGCACAGGAAAACGGGCGACATATTTGTGGCCGACATTACCTCGGCCGAGGTCTACAAACTGGTATCACATCCCTAATCACGCCAGGCCACAGTGCAACAGTCTTTTCCCTTATCACGGTCTTACACCGTGTACATCCAGCAAACGGACATTCTTTCAACGTACTCCCGCAGCACATATTGTCACAACACAATCATTTAGATCGTTATATTCCTGAACTTGATACCGATGCAAGAGTGTCTTGTAGCTTTTGTTTATTGTGGTGTAGTTTCGTGGCTGCGGGTCAGCCATTACCTTTTTCGAGGAAGAAATGGAAAGATTCGCACCTCGAACCCTACAGAAGGCTTTTTACTTTCGTGTTAAATAATGACGAATCACCTCGTACCATGCATTGCTATGATCAAGACTACATACAACTCCCAAGAGTGTGTGGCCTTGCACATGCAGTGCCGTCCTGACAAAATGTCAAGTTGACATTACTACGGATGTCAATTAATTTGCCAAGGTTTTCGTTGTGTGCCTTTGTGTAAGTTGACATTACTGTATTACACAAAGTAAGGCATGCAATTCCCGGTGAATATCATGTACTCGGATGGAGAGCCAAGGGTTATTTATAAAAAGTAAAAAGGACCAAGAAACTACAAGCTACACTATAATGTCCACGATGTGCTAGAGCTGCTAGCCAGTTAGTTGTAGAACGTCAGTACCGTCGGTCAGTGTCGTGCAATGTTATCGCATGAGCTGATTGTTTAGTAACTGGTGGTGTTAGTGGACATTATAGTGTAGCTTGTAGTTTCTTGGTCGTTTTTACTTTTTAGGAATATCATGTACACTGTACTTGGTCTTTACAGAACAACAAGGACAATCGAGGCGTGTTAGCTGCTACTTCAAGTTTCATGCTCTTGCAATCATCCGGCAACATGAAGATGGGGTGCCGGCCATACTTGGTCTTTAGAGGTATGAACAAAGCACACGCATGTGTGGCCTCGCAGTGCACTAGTGTTGTGGTAGAGGGTCACGTGTACACTGCAGACTGCATCAGAAAAATGACGGTAACGGGAAAATTGGCCAGGACCTAGCTGAATGCGGGTGCATAATCAAGACCATGACAGTGAGTCACTGTTCAGTGTTTGCACATTACCATTGTCCACATCAACATGCCCATTATGGTTTGAGTATAAATTGAGTGCTTTCATTGCCGGTCGCTTTGGAAAATGCCGATGAGTATCTATCCGAAATTTGAAAATCTTGAGTTCTACGCTGCGTTTCTACATGTATGTGATTTTCCCCGTCACTTTGGGTCATGCTTCTTGCAGTTTCATTTAGAAGAAAGACATTTGAGCTGACAAGCTCGAATGCATTTCTTCTATTTTGACTTATCGATGTGATGTGACACATATGCCGCTTTTGCAGCTCCCTGCTCGGCGGCTGACACATGAGACATGAAACATGTAAATGGCATCAAGAGTACACAACCCCCCGTACGCTTGCTGTTATGCTGACCAGTGACCTGCACAGGCTAGCACACAAAACGCAGAGGCTGAGCTGCTGTTTTGGCTCGGTTGAGCATGTTCTGAAAATATGTACCGAAGTACGAACCGCAAGCAGTGCGGCATGCGGGTTGACAACGATTTGAATAAAGAATATGAACTGCGGAAGAATCGATAAATTTGGATATAAAATGTGATCGGATAACGGTAGGACAGAAACGAGGACAGTGGGACCTTTGGATGCAAACGTTTGGCATGCCGGCTAGTGGTGTAGAAAATATAAAGTTGTTGATCAGGAGAATACTCCCTCAGGGAAATACCTCATCGGGAGAATACCTCATCAGGCAAATACAGCCTCAGGCAAATACCTCATCAGGCAAATACAGCCTCAGGCAAATACCTCATCAGGCGAATACAGCCTCAGGCAAATACCTCATCAGGCAAATACCTCATCAGGAGAATACCTCCTCGCCAGCAGCCTCTTCAGCGGTGGTCGGTGTAGGCACAGGATCAATACTGAGTGTGCTCGGCTGCTGCACGTTACTGCTTTTCTGCAGCACAGGTCTGGATGCCAGGGCGGTGCGGCTCATCAGTGGGCTGGTGCGGTGCTGGCGCTCGTTGCGCCAGACGTCCGGCTGGCGGCAGTGGGCCGGCGAGAAGTCATCGGGCGTGCCGGGCCGCACCATGTCGGCAAAGAACTCCTCCATGGTAATGTTCTTAGTGCAGTTGCGGCTCAGGTTGGCGATATACGTGGCCCGCTCTTCGTAGCTGCGCGATTAGGGTTGAGCAGGTCAAGGAATACAGTGGTATGTATAACATGTGATGTGTCTACATGATAGGCTGGTTAAAGTCTTCGTAATCAAACCAACCCCCGTCACCACCCACCCTCTCCCCTGAACAAAAATTCAACAAGCTGCCTTGGCACTAGCAGTAAAAGCCTGTCTTCTGTGTCGAAACCAAAGTCCCAAGCAAACCAGCCCCAGTGACATCACCCGGTCAGTGTAAGGGCCGGGTTCCACTGCGGCTCCGCTGCTTGTCTTTCGCAGCTTGAAACGTTATCATTACCATAGTGACCGCGGCTCGAGCTGGAGCAGCGAGTCCGCGGCTCACCGCGAGCTTTTGCTACGATTCTTGACCAAAAACTGCGAGCCGCGGTTGCGGCTCGACCTGTTTCCCGTACTTTGCATTGTTATGTACGCCAGAATTTTAAAATTCAAATTTTAATTCGTTGCGCAGGCCAGAACACGAGAATTTTTTGGATTTCGCGCGCGCACGCGCGCGCGCGCAGGCAGGTGAAACATCATCAAAAAGTGTGGAGCACGACCGCGGCACCGCGAATGGCGAGTGTCAGTGGAACCGCGCTGCTCCGCTGCATGCAGCCAAGTGCCGCGGAGCAGCGGAGCCGCAGTGGAACCCGGCCCTAAGCTAGTGAGGCACTGCAACATGATATTCTTCTAAACGTTTCGCAGAATCGCTGGTGACTTGCAATGGTAGCAGTCATCGCAACATCTTCTGGATCACATGCGAACATACACGCGCACATGCGTAGCCAACACGCACACACACGCGCACACACACACACACACACACACACACACACACACACACACACACACACACACACACACAGAGCAGGGGAAATTTCAGAGGATACTGTTGCTGGAAGAATGGCAGCTCTGACCGCTTGGCACGATTTGCGTTGATGGCCGTGGCCCGGACGAGTGCGGGTAGTGAAGCTATATCCACGACAGCACCGTCAAAGAGCGGACCAAAATGAGGCAGCTGCAAAACAACAACAACGACGACGACGACGACAACAACAACAACAACAACAACAACAACAACAACAACAACAACAACAACAACAACAACAACAACAACAACAACAACAACAGTGAGAACGGATTCTGAAATGTGTGAAGGTCGCGAAAATTGCAAAACTCAATCTCTGGCAAAGAAGGGTTTCTCATTCTGTAGTACTAGAGTATTCAGTAAATTCACTACTAAATCGATTCACCCTGGTGCAGTATCGTCAACAGTGTAGGGTAAGAGTCAAGACCACCAGGCTATAAGGACATGCACTTCATGTGTTCCTGCACCATGGGGTGATAGCTGAGCTCAGTTTGACTCAGTTTGACTGCAGTTCGCCAGCCGCTTACCTTTCCTCCAGGCTTGGTGAGGATCTGCACACGGCACAGGCCGCTCTTCATCGGGTACAGGATAATCATGACGTCACCAAACTCGGTGCGGATGATGTCGCGCCGCCAGTCGCGACTGTGCTCGCTCCAGATGATCTGAACCTCGTCGTTGCCGATATGTCGAAGCTGGGAGAAGCACACAAAGGCATAATGCACTCAAAGCCTCCGTAGTTCAGCGATGAACCCATACCTTAGCATACGATTCACTTTCCTTCATCATCATCACGAGGTCTAGAAACTTGAAATGGTGGCAGCAAAATGAGGCATGAGGCAAACAAGTTGAGGTGTAGCTGAGTGAGCTGGTTGCGCAGCCTAAGACATTCTCAACAGGGTATGTTATGTGATCGACTAGTGATTGAGTGATTGACTTGCTCCTATCACTGTCCAATTTATTGCCAACACCAGCTTCATTGTATTCACTTTTCCTTATTGTACCCCCCCCCCCCCATTACAACTCTAGTGCCTGCTCCTGGGTCCGTGTGCGTATCTGCGTGCTTTGTGGTAGAGAGACAGGGTGTGGGTGGGGAATTAACTCCTCTCGACAGGTTTAAGATAGAACATTCATTCGTAAAATATGAATTCCTTTCATCACTACCCGGAACACGAGGATGAGCAGCAGCTTACAGCCTGTTGATCAATGGTCAATGGTGTGAATAAGGTCGGCCAGAGAGCGCATGTGGTAGAGGTGGAACCCCAAAAGAAAAGAAAAAAACATCACGGGCAGAGGCATCGAGAACATGGCAGGTACTGGTTTATTACCTTGTTGATGATTCCCTTTTCCTCCAGGGTCGGCATGCGTGTTGAGACATGGAATAGCACCTCACACATGCTGGTGGCGTAGTATGGCGCAGTGCTGCCAGTGGTGGCATTCCGCTGCAGACCACCCATGAACCCTGGGTGAGCGGCCAGGTCGACCTGACAACGCGGCACAGCAACACGCCGATAACAACAGCAACAAAAACAACAACAGCAGCAGCAACAGATATGGACACTGTCCGACACAAATGTATTACACTTGTAATAAGTAACTTCAAGGACAATATTCGAATGATCAGCCTGTGTTGAAAACTTATGCTTTCTTGTAGAAACTACATAGTGTGAATAAAGAGCATTTTGTACACTTTCAATTGCTTTAGAATCCTGTAGGACTCTCTTCACGCAGCCTCATAAGTGGAAAAGGGTGGTACGCAACACTGGTTCACACTCGAAGAGTGCATTTTAAACATTCATTTCAGGAAAACATTTCGACATTTCGATCATGAAATAACCATGATCAAAAATCTTGATCATGGTTAATTCATGACCGGAAATGTTTTCCTGAAATGAATTGTGAAGGGTAGTGATTGAGTGCCAATGTTGCACACAGCCCGTTTCCTACTTTTTAATGTTGTATACCCTGATTCTTTCATATACCAGGCTGCGTATCACCCAACAAACTCATCTTTACTTACCTCCCAAGAGATAGCGGCGACGAAGGCCTCAAACTGGGCACTGCCCTTCGTGTTGGACAGGATGGCCGTCTTCTCGGCTTGGCCGGGCCCGACGTAAACGACGCCGATCTTGTGTGTTTCCCGGCTGTGCGCAGGTACAGACGAGGGAACAGAAGCACGTAGAGAAGATGAGAAAGGATCGCAATGCAGAATCAAATGACTCGACAGATACAGTGTTCGGACAACGACACTTGTGTTCCACAACAACACTGTTATAGAAAAACAAAGACCCTATTCGCTCACACTGAGCACACAGCAGTACAGAGACTCACAAGGGACGCGAATCCAGATGCTTCAGCTCGCGCCGAAGTTTGTCGTTTTTGTTCAGCATCTTGAGCGATTTCCTGAGAGGAACAACAGAGAATTACACATGCAATGGGATGATCGTGATTGCAATGACCGTGAATAAGCTGAAACCTACACAGTCTTGTCTTGAATTAGGTCTCATGTAGCAATTGAGGCATGTCGTTTGATTTTCAAAAGCTTTAAAAATATCTTCTGACGGCCGGCTGCTAACATGATGGACCCGGTGCAACATGTTGCTCAGATGCACACACGGCGCGCGCGCTCACACACACACGCACACACACGCACACCGTGTGTCTCTTACATCTTGTCAACGCCCAGGAAGCCGAGATGCTGCAGGAGATAGCGACTGTTGTGGAAGACACTGGTTGGCTGATGTGACTGCGCTGGCGTACACGCTGCAGCTGTCATACTGGTGCGCACAGAGCAAAAAGACAAGAACAAACACACAGGTTTACAAGCTATTTCATGCAAAAAGCATCAAAACTCTCTGATTTCACAAAATTACAGTGACATTGTGCAGGCTAGGTAACCGGGATACACAGAAAACAAACAGGTTTAAAAGTAAATTCATGTAACGGTATACTTGAAACTTGATTTGTAAGTCAGAGTTGCGGACATTCAATTTTTTTAAACGATCAGAGTATGCCATAACCTGCACATGACGCACAGAAGCCATAATTATAGTTTTGACTAGGCCTTTTAGCGTACCATTACTCTTCAAGTCGAATGCAGTGGTAATTAAAGAGCCTGCCAAAAGTAGCTACAAAAGCAACACGCTGGCATGGCTTGCAGCCGATTCATCAATGCGCTTACCATCCCTGGCGATGTCGCAAGTAGTTCTGTTCCACCGTGTGCTGCAGGTCAATGGACTTGACGAGCTGCGCCTCCACCGCCGAGTCGTAGATATCGTCGCAAGCCGTAGGCACGGAGAGGCAGGTGTCAGCCAAAGACAAGCACTCGGCACTTGTAGTAGCTATGTATTCCAACAGCTGCAAAGCAAAAACATCAACCACACAGGACACGGCGGAAGCCAGGAGAGCCAACGATCGGCACGTTTAGTGATAGTCAAGTTCTTTTTAGACTTTTGCCTTTTCATTCCCTCAATCGGATGAATATTTGAAAACTCAAATATTTGTAACATGGAAATTGTGGGCACAAGTTATGCGATCGAGTCCACAAACCAGATTTTGAACAATTTCCATGTTACAAAATTAATGTTTTCCTTGGTTCACCATCTGAGAATTCAAATATTCAGTATCATTGTCTGACTTAGAACTGAATTTGCAGTGAAGCCTCAGTACAAAGTGCCCAGGATACAACATATTATTCTCTTTGCATGGGGTATCATTCAAGTAGCTTTTCGAGAACTCCGTACATTCTTTATGCGTACCAGTTACGTGATCTCGGGCATAGAGTAGTGACATTGATGTCTATTGCCGACCGTCTACTCAAGTTTCACAATATTGTACTCAAGTCGCGTAGGCAATTATGCATGTGTGCTACAAAGTGGCTACAGTGAAGAGTCTAAGATGTAAACACGTGTTCAGAGAAGAACATTTGCTAAAAAAGACGATTACCGGCAGAGTTGGATCTCAAACGAGGCACACAAGTTTTAATGGGAAATCCATTGCATGCAAACTCAAGTTACGTTACCTAAAAGAATTCCTTCTCTCTTCTGTACTAGGGGGGGGGAACGGATGTGTGATGGCAGGGATCGTCAAACGCTATGCTCGCCAAGCGAGAACATTTGAAAATCCCTTAACATTTAACTCTTACAGTACTTAGCCAGTAAACATGCAACATGTAAACTGCCAACCTTGTGAACTTTCAACTCTTACAACAGTAGTTAGCCTGCTATTGTGCTAAGACACTTTAAACTGCCACTACATACCTCATGGAAGTGATCTCCATCGGTGGCGGTGAAGGACGTCGCCGACGGAACGGCGGAGGGCCGGTGCTGCCTCTGCTGCTGCTGAGACACGTCGTCCGCGTCATGCGACTCGGCGCCATGGGGACCGTCGAAGGCAAACGCCGACGGGTAGTCGGCCGTCACTGGCGTGTGCGCGTCACTCATCAAGTTGTGATTAGGATCCAGAGATTCACACAGGCCTGTAGAGTACACACGGGGAGAAAGAAGTTTGCAACAAATGGTTAGTGTGAGAGCATCAGGTTCTCCTTAATCTTGTAGTGTGCGAGAGATTACCCCCCCCCCCCCCCCACACACACACACCAACATCAACACCCTTGCCACTCGCATCATCCCCATCGCCATCGCCATAATTGCTTGTCCTAACCTCACCTTTTGTCTTTGTTCACCAGAAGGTAAGAGATAGTACCTCCAGGTGTGCACCGGTGTCAGTTCATTTTCTAACCTCCTTATCACCACTCGGCCACATACTACGTTTGTTCTAGCATGGCGCAGGCTAATGCTGCTGCCGCCACGTGTTCCAGGCCGGTTCTCCAAGAAGAGAGTTGCACGTCGGGGACAATCTTTCGCGAAGAATAGAACTGAAAAAGAGGTCGAGCCTGATGTACAGTCTGCCGAACAAGGATGACCACATCGCTGAAAGAACGCGGCAACCAAGCGACAAGCAGTTTCACCACCGAGCTGTCGCTCTCACGGAAAACTGCAAAGAAACTCTCTCTCTCCTGGCTCCATAAGTTGGCTTTCTCGAAAGTGACCTTCAAGAGTCATGCAACGAACACTCTGACTTGATAAAGGAGAAAGGCACCTCTGGTTTGTTCAATAATTTATTTTCAGACTGGCGAAATTTTTATTTATTGCCCAGATTGCATACCGTGTAAGGGGCCATCCGTAAGTATAGATATTTATTTAGAAACGTCTAGGGGGGAGGGGGTTGAGCGCCTGTTCGTTTCTCGAAAAGTATCGCTGAACATTTTGCATGTATGAGCATGTCCAGAAAAAAACATCAAAAATATCGACACTATGTACCATTCGTACGTGTTCGTTTCTCGGGGGGGGGGGGGGGGGGGGGTTGAAGAGAAACGACTAGTTTTCGTTTCTAAATAAATATCGGGGCCATCCGCCATCCGTAAATACCGATATTTATTTAGAAACGAAAACTAGTCGTTTCTCTTCAACCCCCCTCCCCCCTCCCTCAGAAACGAACACATACAAACGATGCATAGAATCGATATTTTTTTCTTTTCTTTTCTGGACGTGCCTACACATACAAACTGTGCATCGATATTTTTCGAGAAACGAACAGGCGTTCAACCCCCTCCCCCCTAAACGACTAGTTTTCGTTTCTAAATAAATATCTATATTTACGGATGGCCCCTAATCCATTAGGGCAGCGGTTTAAATTAAAGGGCAGACCAACTGCTTCATGCATCAATTACTGTACTTCACCGGAAGATCAATTGGCAGATCCCCATTTACGTTCATTGTTATCCTCCTTGGAGAGCACAGTGCTCAAGGACACCCGTACCCCTGTCCTTACAGACTCATTTCTTAGGCTTTCGAAGTTTTCCCAAGGACAGTGCTATAGTGACGGCAGATGTGGAATCTGTCTATCCCAACATGGGACTGGGACTGGGTTCACACAATCATTGCCGTAAAGGAAGTACTACATGAAGCAAATCACCCCGATAGGTCCCCTTCTCATAGACCTCCTAAAGCATGCCCTCGATAATAACTACTTTGTTTTTCTCGCAGTGCAAGAACACTGTACATGGGGACGCCCATGGCGGTGAGTATAGCAAATGCTTTTCCATGTGTCAATGAAAGAAAGTCCATTGCTATGTTCCACTCAACGATACAGTTTTCAGTCGATTCATCAAGGATTCATCGATCCATTGAGGACTTTCAGCCCTTTCAGTGCTTATGACATATGTGTGACATGGTCAGTTGGACTTGCCTGGATATGTCTCCGTTGCAATACCATGAAGGCTGCGTGCATCCCACGTCCATTTGCCGGACAGGTTGCGGACAATTAGTCGTGTCATCATGCCGCCAACCTGCAGCTCCTCGGGAGTTTGGCCACTATCCGGCTCGATCTCCGACACAGATATGATGGTGGAGCTATCATAGGCAAAGAACTGAATAGACACACGCACACACACACACACACACACACACACACACACACACACACACACACACACACACGTGATACGACGATAACGTTAACATTTCCTGCAAAGGGTTCTTGTGCAAGCCACATGAACAGGCAGCCAATTCCTCTACCCCCTCTACATCCAACACAACAAACTGTCCACCCAAACACAGCACTCATAGCTCACTCAACAATATACATCACTAACCTGGACATTGGGTGCTGTGAACAGATTGGGCGCCAGGTCGGTGGCGTTCTTGTACCGAGTGTGGTCATCACACTCTATTACGGTACTGCACGGCCTAGCTGCGCCGGCGCAGAACGGATAATGATCCAGGAACGCTATAAGGTGCTCCAGAGCCTGCGCACAGCGAATTGAGTACAAGGAAACAGTAAACACGGCCATCACCCGGTGCACCCGGGATGATTTCATACTCTGCTCAGGCACACAAAGATGCAGCTAATGGCTCGGAGCAACAGAACAAAAGCTGCTCCAGAAGCTGTACGGTCAGCCATGCGCAAGTGGACAAGGGGAGATTTCGTACGGGTCATGTTGCCTGATGATTGCGAAGGCATGAAACTTTGAATAGCAGCAAACAAGCCTTGATTACCCTTGTTGTTCTGCACGGTCGTAAGGTAACGTTACATGCTTTGAAACAAAATGACCAAGAAAACTCATCACACCACACACAAAGGAGTAGTTCTTCGTTGCGCAGAGAGTGGAATTCTAGAGCCCCAACGAAAAGCTGCCCTCGCTCCCTGTTTGATACAGATGTAACACACAAAACTGTGATTAGGTGTGTTCCGCAAAGTTATGAAGACATTGCAGAGCATTGCAGCAAAGCTCTTGGAGGAGAGTGAGATCTCCTAAGTGCTAACAATTCACACCAACAGTAGTTCTAAATCGTGACTTTTCACTATTGCTAGTACTTACCGCTCGTGCAGCGAGGTTGACTGTCACAGAGCTTACATGTGACTCATCTGAACCAGGCAGAGAGAGAGAGAGAGAGAGAGAGAGAGAGAGAGAACAAGAGAGAAAGAGAGAGAAAAGACACAGTGAATGAGTGAGTGCGCGCATGAGTGAGTGAGCGAGTGAGAGGCCCACACCCACACAGGCACCCATGCATGTATCACATGCCCACAAGTCTACAAATCCGGGTATACAATACAAGAACAATTACGCAACATGGTGGCTAGTCGTTCAGCTGCAATACGAGTCCCCCCCCCCCCCCTCCCCTCACCACTACTCCTCACAAGATAGCAAAGAGTTTCATCCTACAACTCGGCATTCATCGTACATAGCTGCTAGAGCATTCAGTATTGCCAAGAGGCGTGAGTGGGAGACTTACTGCCATGTGTCATTGGCGATGACGGAGAGTCCAGTGAGCCGTTCGGATCAGACACGGTCGACGGCCGGCGTGGCTTCAACACGTCCTGCGGTTTTATTCGCCCGCAGGCATTGTGCAAGATCTGAGCAGCATGGATACAATACTGTCAGACACTGAAGAACTTCAATATAGGGGTCAGCCAGGCGCGTGCGCCGGTGCCCTTGAAGGGGGGGGGTTCCGGGGCCTCCCCCGGGAATTTTTTTCAAGAAATGAAGCAAAATCCTGCATTTTGAGCGAAAAAGGGGGGGGGGTTCCGGGCACCCAGGAACCCATACGGGGCACGCGCCTGTCAGCCTCCTAGCCTAGACCTTTCTCATTTTCATGTATTGCAGTCTATGCACAGTCGAGGCACCGTCCGTGTATGCATTGGTATGATGTGCTTGGTGAACTTCTAGGCTGGTCGTTCTCCAGCGCTCCGTTCTTCGACGCTCGCCAGCACTGTATGGTCAAGGGTGCGCGAGCACAGACAACTAGGGTACGCAATGAGCACGACACACACGGATATGTCAACAAGTTAGCCCTCATCACCGACATCACTGCTGCAGTCTCTATGCCATGGCTGGTTGTGCTTGGTGTCACCTACACACAGCTCTGAATCGGTTTTGCATTCGTGCACATACCGGTATACGTGTGTGTGTGGGGGGGGGGGGGGGGCACACACTCGCACAATAAGACGCAAGCAATCGTAAGTCCACTTCCTCGAATGCTCCAAGGCCACTTACCCAAACCTTTACAGACCCCTACGCAGATGCTCAGAGGTACCCCAAATCAAACGAGTTTATCAATAATTTCAAAGCAGTTTCAACATTATATCGATGGAGAGTACGTGCTAGAATTTCTCAGGCTCACCTGGAACACACGGTTGAGCAGGTTCTGACCAGAGGTGGGCAGTTCCTGCGCCAGTAGCTTGGACGACTCCAGTCCCATGGTCCACTTGACCATGCACTGCAGCATGCGTACCAGCACCGTCTCCCTGGCCTTGGCCGGCGGTGCCGGACCGGCAAAGTCCTCGGTGATGACAAACGAGGCGCACGAGCAGAGCGACTGAGACAACAGACGCATGGGAACACACATCATAAGAGAATGAGTAGGGAAATTCCCTGCTGAGCGATTACAGACGAGGGGAACTCCCTGATTGGTGATTACCCGTCCCTGCTCGTGTACAGCAAAACCTGTGTTTGCCGGGCCCTGTACCAAGCGGAATCCTGTATCGAACGGACAAAATGTCTTGCTGTGGATCGAACGTTTATCTCTGGATCGAGCGGAATTCTGTCATATCAGGATAGTTGACAGTTTGCGCTGCGCCAAGAGCGTTGTTAGGGCTGGTCTTACTGTACTTCAGAGTAACTAACCAGCCAGCTACTGCACGGAGTGCAAAACACAAGAGGCTGGCTACAGCACCACTAACCGGTGATGAAAACAACACAAGGCAGGAACAGCCGCGTTCTTGCTTTTGACAACTGATGGTGTTGTTTTCTTACCTCAACAATCTTCTTCACCATGTTCTCTGGCAGACCCGGTTTATAGTCGGTCAGCAGAAACAACATCTCAATGGCCGATAACACCACCTCTGAGTTGGTATTCTGTAGTGAAGAGTAAAGACAAACAGGTCGAAACAATGCTTCCCGGTGAGCAAGTCTTTCCATGCCGCCGTCGGGTTAAGCATAATGCAATCCCGTGCACACTGACTACTGTAAAAGCAGAAATTTTCGGTGGTGTAATATTTTCGGTATTCTCCAAAATCGGCGGTTCGGTGGAGGGAAATTTTCGGTAAAACCCGTTCTCCAGGTAAGTATGCTAGTACTACACATATACAGCATCGGTTGTACCGAAATTTTCGGTGCGTTTTATTATCGGTAAAAATTGTCGGCACCGAAGTTACCGAAAATAAAACACCACCGAAAATTTCTGCCTTTACAGTATACCACACATGACAATCACTAGTCCACAACTGAACACATATAACACCGGTACTGCATGGCAAAAGGCTGTAGTTAATTTAGATGCTGAAACGCAGTGAAAGTTCGGTATAAAGTACCCTGGACACGGCATACTTTTCTCTTTGCATTGGACATAAAGTACATTTTTTTAACACTGCGTATCCTTTTCCAGTCATTTTTTTTACAAACCGAGACCACCTCGGATCAGCTTTGATCGTGCAAACGCACGAAAACGAAGAAAGAAATGCGGGACTGAAAACGGAAAACTGGCCGTGCGTTGTCATGTAAACGCAGTATTAGAGCAAGACTTGATGAGAACAATTACAAAGCTTTAAAGACAGTCAGTGCAGTGCGTACATGTTTGTTTGAGTGCTACGCACATGCCACAGTTCAGAAATGCAAATTGCACTCAGCATTTTTTTCATTTCCAGTCATTTTACCTTGGATATAGAGTACATGTGCCTTGGCTACTAGTATGTAGTACGGATGTCTACGTCCCCTGGAAGTAGCTGTACGGATGTCTACGTCCCCTGGAAGTAGCTGTACTGATGTCTACGTCCCCTGGAAGTAGCTGTACTGATGTCTACGTCCCCTGGAAGTAGCTGTACTGATGTCTACGTCCCCTGGAAGTAGCTGTACTGATGTCTACGTCCCCTGGAAGTAGCTGTACTGATGTCTACGTCCCCTGGAAGTAGCTGTACTGATGTCTACGTCCCCTGGAAGTAGCTGTACTGATGTCTACGTCCCCTGGAAGTAGCTGTACTGAAGTTGGACGTACTATGATCCATGGACGGAATTTACAACCGGACGAATTCCCTTTCTTTGGAGTTGGACGAAATTATTGACCGGCGAAATGTTCTGCCTATACAGCACACTGTATGTTACACTGTATATTTCACTGTACAGCTAGTCATCCACAGCTAGTCATGTACAGCTAGTTATCCACAGCTAGTCATCCGCAGCTAGTCATCTGCAGCTAGTCATCTGCAGCTAGTCATCTGCAGCTAGTCATCTGCAGCTAGTCATCTGCAGCTAGTTATCCACAGCTAACTACATCTTATCAAGACATGGTATCAAGGTGTTGCAGTCAATCCAGCTTGTCATACGGTTTGGCTCAGTCACTTTCCGGTCGAGCGGTTCAGATTACAAGGAAGGAAAGTGATTGTACAGAGGCTGCCAATGGTGCACCAAAACATGGATGTGTAGCCCCCTTCCCCCTCCCTGATGCCAAAAAAACTTTGCGACAACCCCTGAGCAGAGCACTGTATGATTATATTCTACACGTTATAACCTCCCGTGGACCGTTCCGATCAAGTCGGTTTCCAAGCATAACTATGGCAACCCTGCAGCATGACTTACTCCAATGGCACACAGGAGTGTGTAGATGCCCTCGGCACAGCGACTGTTGCCACGCCGACGATGGACCAGCTCGCTGAAGACGTACATGCCCACCATCGAGATGGAAAGACATCTGCAAGAACAGCAACAACACGAACAGCAACAACAATGGCAAGCTTAGGAGTACATGTATTGGTAAGGAAAGGAGAGAGAGAGAGAGAGAGAGAGAGAGAGAGAGAGAGAGAGAGAGAGAGAGAGAGAGAGAGAGAGAGAGAGAGAGAGAGAGAGAGACAGAGAGAGACAGAGAGAGAGAGACAGAGAGAGAGAGATAGAGATAGAGAGAGAGAGAGAGACAGAGGCAAAGAAAGAGAGAGAGAGAGAGAGAGTGAGAGAGTGAGTGAGTGAGAAAGAGCTTCATTCAGAGCACTGTAAATCGGCAACAAGGTGCACTGTGAGTGATGACATAACCGACGCATAGTTAGATATATCCATTTCAGCTTAGGGCACTGTACCTTGCACTCTGTGTCAGTGGTCCAGTTTGGAAGCGTGCCACCTTGAGCAGGAGCTTGATGATGCGATCCTTGATCTGCGTAAACGTAGTCTCCGGCTCACTTGATCCAAGCATATTAACAGGCAAGTGCGGGAAGAGGTACTCCACTTGCAAGAGAGCACCAAGCGCGCTCAGAACGTCAGTTTCAGGTCGCTGCGAACAGATAACAGAGAAAAGGTGACACCGGAAAACAGCGATTTGCACCAACAAGCAATACATTCATTCTTCATCATTGCATGTTACCTGGCAGGGTAAATTGGGTGCCAAGTCATCATTTATAATCATCATTTATAATGAAAAAACCACCGGAGGATGCACCCAGTGTGCTGACAGTGCTCAACACTGCGGAGGCAGAGCGTAGTAGACAGACTAACAAGGGTAATCAAGGCTTGTTTGTTGCTACTTAAAGTTTCACGCCTTCGCAATCATCAGGCAACAGTGGTAGTGATAAAGCCATTACAACCCAGCAGTACTCTTAGTATGAATCACGTCCCTGCCTCCGCTACCGCTACACGCCAGTGCCACCGAAGCCAAAACAAGCCGTCCAACTCCGTCAAACCTAGTTTCTACAGGGTGCCCCGCCCCGCCCGGATGACGACATTGAACTGCACGTGCATTGGTGCCTGCAGCCATTATCGTGTGTACCCTAGCGAGAAACTGTAGCCGAGCAGACTTCCAAAGTCGATTCAAACCAGTCGCACGTTGACTCAAATACCTTAGAACTCTGATGGAGAGCCAAGGATTAAAATTAGAAAGAAAGGACCAAAAGTATCAGGTTGTTGAATGTCAGCACCATATCAGTGATTATTGTGCTAACTGTTGCACATTGTGACCCACCAATATCTCGTCCTTTCTTTCAAATACCTTTGAGGAGTACATTGCTAGAAATTTGCTCCTGAAGTAAACTCTTCCTATCTGTACTTGAAGTACATTCCAAATTTTCACTTGAGCTCAGATAAGACCCCCACCTCCCCTGGTCTTTCCCGATGTTGAAGGTGCCAAGCTGATCAAAACTCAAAGAAAAATAGTTCTAAACGTGGAAGACAAGTTTGTGTGTAGGCTCTGTCCTGCACTCTGGCGGAAAACAAATTCGCTGGCATTGCCGTCAACTCCATTCTAGTACAGACCAAGTACAGTTGCGCTCGGTGAAATCCAACCCGAAGTGCAAAGCTGGCACCCTGCACCAGTTCTGATCACTGATCACTAGTGGTGAAACGAATATTCGAACATTCGTTCGGTTTGTCACATTCGAATATTCGTTAAGTCACATTCGAGTATTCGTTACGTCACTTCAAATGCAGTGCCTGTACATACATGCACGCCGAACACGGTGCAGTACGTAAAGCCTGCCTGTGACTTTGTACTGTATGCATGTACATGTATGTCCATACTGGACTGCCAATGGTGCACATAACATGTATGAACTTCGAAGTAGCCTTATGTGGCAGTACATTTTATGTGGCACTATGGTTTGTCATACCTAATAATAATGACAGTATCCATCAAATGACTGGGAGGAGGGCATGTGATGTCATCTCTGTTACCAAAAGAATATTCGTTCATTCGTTCGTTAAGCCGAAGAATATTCGGCTAGTAGGTTTTGACATTCGTTTCACCACTACTGATCACATCATTCTATTTGTACATGTGTACGTACAGGCGCATTCGTGTAGAACTATACAGCTGAGAAGACGACCAGCCAGATACAGTGCGTATCGGTTATAGTGTGGTCGTATACAAGAATATACTGCTTACAAGAATGAACACTCATTTTTTCACAATCATAACACATATTTTATGTGTATATTTATTCTTACAAGCAGTATTATCGCATAGTAGAATATATCGGCCCTAAGAATGGATTTTGTGTAGCAAAATATTCCAGATTAGTGCAAAGTGTATCGCCTGTAGTAATAACATCTGTGCTCTGTGCATACTCAATACAATAATATTCAACACAAAAAGAGAGTCATGTCCAAGGGAGCATTGGAGAATCACTTTTTCTGTCCAGTCGGACTCTTTCTTCCGACTTCGCTCGTATCCGCTGCACCACAGTCGCCTAGCATGACCGCGAGTCTGATTGATCCGTGTGTATCATGTGTACGTGTCCACATGCCAAACGTGCGCGCATATGATATGTCACACGTGCATATGATATGTCACACGTGATTTATCGTGTGTAAGAAATATCGGCAATAAGAATCAAATGTCGTTTTTCAAACACCCACGCTATAACCGATACCTACTGTACTAGTACAGATCTTTCCATGTTCGGACAAGAGCTTTTTGGGTTGTCAAGTTTCTGAGTGCATGGACTGACTGCATGCGTGCTGAGAATCAACAGATTGTTGGCACATAACGGGTACTAGTAGTATATCAACACCACTCTCTACAATAACACAGAGCCACCAGGTTACTACTCACAGCTCGGCTGCTTGCCGGCGCCTGCTGCTCGCCGTTGTTGGAGAGCTTTTTCGACAGCTCGCTGATGGGGGGCTCAGAAACCTTCAGGATGCTGGCCGCCACGTTCAGCAGGGCGTTGATCAGGCAAGAAGAGCCGGGCAAGCAGTAGGTGAACATACGCTTGCAGTGGCGAACCACGCAGTCCACCACATCCTGTGATGGCAACGGGCATAACAGGCGGACACAGAAAACAGCACTAGGCCCGCCAAGATGACGACATTGACAACACCAACAAGCTTTCTAAAGCGACATAACTACAAAGCAGAAGTAACATTTCACCAAGGCAAGTTCAGCCCTCACCAACGCTGTACAAAGCGTCACTGGCCCGTTTCTCAACGGTCGCGCAAATCGACCAATCAGCGTACAGCTAATGTACCAAAATTCTCAAACTTACCGTAATTCCTTGGTTCATACGGTGTAGTTTCCAAAGATTTTTTATGGGCCAACGTCTTCTTTCGATAGATACCAACAGATCGTCCGCTTCGAATTTTTCGATTTGATTGCCGTTTGGCCGAAAATTACCTCCAAAACCGGCCTCCACTCGTTTCACTTCAAGGCTTTCCAGGTGGACGGCATCGCAATTCGGAAGCGGAGAAAGGATAGCCAGTGAAAAAAGAAAAACAACGACGTATTGGTTGTCGAAATCGACCAAGAAATGAATTCAATAGACCTGTTTCCGTGCTGCGCCCTCGCGGCCCGCGCGAGTGCGAAAGGGATTCTTTCTCGACAAAACAAACAACTACTAGTACGCGCAGTACACTGACATCACTGCACTGGCTGTATATACCTTAGGAATATCCTGTTCATTTCCAAGGCATGATTGTCGCTAGTGGGAGAACTCAGCCACCTGAAGCTTTCATAAAGGAAGAAGTAGTAGGTGAATGAGTTCGCCAGAAAATGGAACGACAAGAAAATAGATACTGTTGCTTTCCGGGGCGCTCATGAGACGACGGCAAGATAGGACTGAAACGATCGACAGTCTGCCTCGACGCAAAAGAAACTCTTCTAGGAGGAGCTCGACGTGCTGTAGAGTTTGCAGTATTCTGCTGGAAGAAGACAAGAGAACTAAACTCAGACTACAGCGTGGAGCTGAAGCACGAGCGAAGCAAAAGCTGAAGCAAAAGCTGAGCGAGTTCGAAGAAATGGGGAAACACAGGAAAATGAGTGGGCGACATGATCTTTAGCTCGCGAGCTCGAAGCTCGCGCTGAGACACGCGGTGGGCACGTGCGCCTACGGGTAGCGCGGCCAGCCACCATGTTTTCAAAATGGAGGTCGACGCTTTTGAAATCCGTGTAGACGATGGTGAGGGCTGAAGTTCTTGTTTTCTGTATCATAAAAGCAGTACTCACCAAATTTTCAGAGGTGAATGCCTTGTAGAGTGTTCGGTAGAAATGTGACAGATGCTGTTCAGAGACAGTGTGGTCGTGCCGCACGATGGTCATACGGCAGAGTAGCTCATATGCACGCAGCTTGCCGGCCAGGTATTTGTCTGGAAGGTCGCAAGCCTGGAGAAGGGGTAGCAAAACACAGAAGGTTTGAATCAGTGGCAGCACAAGCACATTCATGCACTTATTGGGCATGCATGTAAACACACAAACACACACACACACACACACACACACACACACACACACACACACACACACACACACACACACATGATGCATTCACATATAGACAGACAGACAGACAGACAGACAGACAGACAGACAGACAGACACACACACATGTTTACAAGCCAAACTTGCAAAGTTGCTCAGTGTGCCGCTAGATGATAGTTACAACTGCACAAGTGGTAGAACTGACCTGGAAGCACCAGGGTGCAAAGACCAGTAGTGGCGGGTCGTATTCCAGAGGAAGGTCTGGCTTTACCGGTTCACCTTCACAGTTGTGCAGCTGCAGAAAACAGGGTCACAAAAACAGCATTTATTACTAGGGCCGAAACGATTGCCCATTTTGCCCTAACGATTAACCGATAGCACTAACGATCGATTTATTGGTTTTACCGATTTTCCGAACAAGTTTTATACGTGTCATGTTGAACATCAGTATACAGCAAAAACAATTAAATTTGTTCAACTAGATACAGGTACGTATGGGTGAAAGATCCACACAGGCCCAAAAAAGACCAAAATGAAATTTGCAATTGATATGAGCAGTGTTCCTCTGCCATTAAACATCAACGATCAGTCGTCTGTCTTCTATATTGGAGAGGGGTCGACTGGAATCGACAGTCCAGTCGATGATCGACTCCGTCAACATGCCTGAGCGCCTGCTGTCGCACGTTCGCAAGTTATCTGTGCCGAAGAACGCCGTGACGGGCTTCATTCCAGCACTGTTCGTCGCATTTTCACTGCGCTCAACATTGCTGGTAGTCGCCGTTGCTGTCGACTGGGTTGCTGATCCTTTCCCTACCGCAGCGGCGTACTGGTCTTTATGTCAGAGTAGAAATCAGGTGCTGGAACAAGTTGGTTGTGCCGCTTTGACGGACGAACTCGCGGTTGCATGAATTGCATCTCGCTACGCTATCAGCGTCCTCGAAATATGCCCACGCTGGCGATCTCTTGGTCAGACTAACTTTCGCTTTTCCAGGCGGCAGCATTGTCACTGCTCTCCTCGCCAAAAATCAAAACTAACTAAGTTTTTGACAAGAACTGAACAAATTAGAAGGACGGCAGCCACACTCACAGTGTCGCTACAACCTAACAGTAAAGAAGCTTTCCGGTTGTTACATTTTCCGGCTACGCTGACTAGTGCAGTGAATGTAGTGACTATGTACGACTACCCAAAAAGGATCAAGCGCGCAATGATTGTACGGACCTACAGCGTCATGCACGACGTCGTGTACTTCGACGTTCATGTACTTGTGCGCACGACGCACGTGCATGATGCCATGCATGGTCTGCATGTACTGACGTCATGACCGCTCTCGCACTGTACAGTCATAATCGATAAATCGTTATCGATCATAACGATTATCGATTTCATCCATAACGAGTGATATACGAGTAATCGGTATAATCGTTTCGGCCCTATTTATTACCAGTGCAGTGCTTGCAATACAGTACTGTAAAGCGACACACTTTCGCGGCGTGCAAATTTAGCGTTTTCATAAATCGGGCTGGTTCACGATGAGAAACGTTTGCGATTCTATATTTTCAATCGGATCTTGTATGATCTACAATCAGTGTACGGAGAGGTTTACGGCGATTTAGGGGCCGTCCGTAAATATTGCACTTTTTTCACCAAACAAATTATTTTAGTTTAGACCCAACCCCTCCCTCCCCCTCAGAACGTAAAAATTGTTGACATTCACATGCATATACAACAAAAGTCGCAAGTGTGTCACTGCTTCTATGGCTATGTACATGTATCGAACTTTTCTGAAACGAAATTGGTCAACCCCCTCCCACCCCATAACGAAATTATTTCGTTTCGTGAAAAAAGTTCAATAATTATGGACGACCACTTATATTCGCGAAAGTGTGATGGTCGCGAAAATAGCGAGATTTAATCTCTAGTGAAAGTTTCTCACTTTACGATAATCGCACTGAAACTGCACAAACTGTACGAATAGAACAGAATGAAATGCGCTGGGAAAACATTATGGTGTATTTTGTCCGGCGCCCGGCATTCCCAAAAACATGTCGTGCATCCAATAAGTTAACGTGGACACAGAGTTTGTCACATTGAATACTGGTCTTAGGTATTTCTTTGAAGGACGCTGAACACACAACATCTAAGAGTGGAACTCTGATACGATGTACCCCCATGGGGAAGAGAAAAGTGTGTCATTATCCGATGTACTGTACTTCTTATCAGAACATATTTCATATTTCATTATTGGGCAACGCATCCAAACCCCGGACAAGGTCTGTACTAAGCAAGTGTATGTCTTATCAGGGTATGTTCTAGATGAGTTCAACTATAGCTAGCAGAGTGGTAGAGGGAGGGAGGGAGGGAGAGGGAGGGAGAGGGAGAGAGAGAGAGAGAGAGAGAGAGAGAGAGAGAGAGAGAGAGAGAGAGAGAGAGAGAGAGAGAGAGAGAGAGAGAGAGAGAGAGAGAAAGAGGGAGAGAGAGAGAAAGAAAGAGAGAGAGAGAGAGAGAGAGAGAGAGAGAGAGAGAGAGAGAGGGAGAGAGAGAGAGAGATCATGCATCGACCACGGCCGCATTCGCTCACCTTGAAGAGAATGTCCAGAATGATGCCAAGGCATCGCAGTGCGTCGTCGTGCAGCGACGGGTCTGCAAACAAGTTTGGATTTCCGAGCAGGCCCAGCATGCGTCTCCAGAGCACCGCCGCCGAAACGGGCGTCCAGCCACGCTGCCGTCCGCCCAGGACTACCTCTATTCCGTCCTCGCGACCTTGCTTGGAATCTAGATGAAACAAAGCGCCAGCAGGAGCAGCAGCAGCAGCAGCAGTAACAGCAGCAGAGAACCCACAGAGTATATTAATTATTAGTGCTGAAACGATTACGTTTTTTCCTTAGTGGCTTAGCTGATACCATAACGATCGGCTTATCGGCTAAACGATTATTATTGTAACTACATCAGTACATGTACATTCTGTGAATTTCAAAATTTTACGAGTCCAACAGTTACATCGCCAACGACGGAAAGCGGGTGCATAGATCCGATGTTCCCGCAACAAGTCTGTCAGCTGTTCGGACTGACCAGACGAATACAGACCAGACAGAGGCAACTCACTGGTTGCAACCCAAGTGCTAAAGCCATAATCCTTTTTTCGCTCTTCTGTGTAGTGTGAAGAGGTCAACGAACATGTAGAGCTCACTTTGATGAAGTAGGCAAGGCTGTGAGCGCTGTGGCTCAAAGCGATAGGCCCTAAATCGTGCGAGATATTTCGAGCGCCATTGTTTGTTGCGAGCGCTTCGTCTTCGATGAGTCTTGCCTCTTTCCTGTCAGGTTTCCTCCAACAGGACCAAGCACGAAGTAACTGTACTCATCTGCAGCCGATCAATGTTCTACTGCGCAAGAAGATTGCGTTTTCGCCAAGCCAGTGCCCCGCCAAAGACCATCGCCATGTCACAACGTCGGAACGAGTTCATGATGAGAATCATCATTCGCGCGAGCTTGATGAAGAACTATTTCGAAACACAACATAGTCTCTACCTCCGGGACGACAACTTTGCGCCGGTCCTGGAAGGGGAGAATGTCTCCAGCGATAAGAACGAAGACGACGGCGGTATTTCGGCAACGTGGAGTCAGCGGAGTTCGTCAAGCTCTTCCGCCTCCGTGATCCGGTACATGTCGACACGAGCGTGCGGGAACACAGCATACACTGTAGGACTGTTGCGAGAGTTTGCGGAAGGAGTCCAAGTCGGGAAATCCATCAGCTCCAAAAGCTACCTGTAGGTGGGCGATGAGACTCCAGCTTCAGACTACAACAGTCAGGACTTGTAAATAGTTGAACTTTGTGAAGCAGCAGATCGAGAAGTTAGTTGAAATCATAGCTGTTGCAGTATGTCGGCGCTATGTAGCTTGTATTTTTTTACGGAGAGTCGATCGCCACGCGAATGTTTCTCTCCTCACCGAGAGCTAGCTGGCCTCCAAACTCCGTCAGGGTCTGCCTAAGGTACCGAAGGTCCTTTGACTAGCTGCTGGCAGGACTCCATCAAATCCTTTAGCTTCAGCTCGGCGAGCAAAAGTCTCTCTCTCCTCCAACAATCTTTTCGGGATTGGTAAGAAAAGTAGTCAGCTCAAAAGACGACGACGGTGATCACGTCGATGTTTCTCAGATCGCGCTTGTAGTACTTTACACGTACATCGATGTTGCAAGTGGACAGTCATATTCGTGTCGTACACTCGGACGTCTCTTATCCGGGCACCTTGGGACCGGGCACTGCCCGTATCTCAGATTTGCCCGCATCTCAGGATAACTCATCTATCACGTACCATATCAGTTTTTGATGAAGTTTATTTGGCACGTATTGCACATGCTCAGGATAAAATAGAATCCTTTGATGAAAACGTGGGGATTACACAAGTTGGCAGTGACAAATAATGAAATATGCAATTGTGCATACGAAAAAAGGTTCAAAATCCCCAAATCCGAAGCATTTTGCCATAGTGACCTCAAGCTGAAGGTGCCCGGTAGAGAGACGTGCCCGTATCTGAGGCGTCCGGATAAGAGACGTTTGAGTGTACTCGCAACACTTTCGATGCATGCACGCTTTGTGCGACCCCAAAAGGGGGGAAATCCCACACCGAGTGTAAGTACATGTACCATTCTACTCGTTTAGCCGATAAAATCGAAATAACCGCTCGATCTATTTCTTATCGAGTAAGTAACGAGTAATCGATATAATCGTTTCAGCACTATAGGGCTTGAAAGTGGTACGTCACAGCATAGCAACAATTTCAAAAATTCAAAAATTGGATCCACTTGGATCCAGTTTTTGTATGGATCCAAGCACATTTCAAGCGGTCTTACCCACAGCATGGTGATGTAGCCAGTGAAACTGACTGATTTGGCTACTGGGGGCGGGGTTACAACTGGTGGCGAAATAAAAGTCACACCTGCATGCGACATGAGTGGGTTGCTATGCACCCACATACTTAGGCAATAGCAAAGTCACACCTTAGTGGATCCAAAAATAGAAATCTGATGTCAACTTACTACTCCCTGGCCGTTTTGACGTCATCACTTTCAAGCCCTATTAATTATTATGATTCATAGGCTTCATCTCAAGTCACATGACCTGATTCACTTCGAGGGAGCTGTCACATGACATAATTGACTTCAGTGGGGGGGGGGGGGGGTAGGGCTGACCCGAATTTGCCAGCTGAATCTCGATATTTTGCGGCATAATTTTGCTCGTGCATCGTCGAAATTTTGCTTTCATTTTGCTCGGTGTGCAATATTTTGCTTCCTTTTTGCTCGTGTCAGCTGTGGTTGCAAAGGTGTTTTGCCATGGCTTCCAGTGAAGTCTTGGTTATCACTGACTCGACTAGTGACACAGCTGAGGCCACTGAAGCGGCAGCTCCCTCTGGTGGCAGTGATAATGATCGTCAGGATGACAAAGACAAAGTATCAGAGTTTGTCGCCAGGTTTCAAGCTCCAAAGGCAGCCGATATTTTGCGGAAACGCTCCATGCCATCAAACCTTACAAAGGGTAATCCGGCCAAGAAATCCTGTCCTGGTCGTTCAAGTGACAAGTCTGCTAGCTTTGTACCAACCATTAACCCGAGGGACAGACTAAAGGAGTTTCCAGGCGAGGGGTTGAGCGTTGATGCTGGAAAATTATTTTGTTCCAGTTGTCGTGAGGAATTGTCAACAAAGAAGAGTTCAATTGCAGCACACATCAAGTCTGCCAAACACCAGCGCAGCAAAGAGACAGCAAAGCAGAAGTCTGTTCAATGCATGACCATCACCGATCATCTCCGGCAGTATGCAAGTCAATACCATCCCTCTGGTGAGAACCTGCCAGAGAACACACGCTTGTACCGCCTTCGAGTCACCAAATGCCTGCTGGAGTCGGGTATCCCACTCAGCACTGTGACGGGTGATTTCAGGGAACTTTTGGAGGAGGGAGGCTATCGTCTCACCACACCAGGCCATCTGAGGGAGTGCGTAACCGTCATCCACAACTTATTCAAGAAGGACTTGTGCAAGGAGCTGGAAGGTCGAAGTGTATCTTGCATTTTTGACGGATCGACAAGGCTCGGTGAAGCCTTTGCTGTTGTCGTGCGTTTTATCACAGATGATTTACGTATCTGCCAGAGGCTTGCTGCTGTTCGGTGCGTGGAGAAATACATGACAGCTTATGGTGTGAGTGGTGCTCTGGTCGACATACTCATGGAGAACCTGCGTGTGTCTCGTCGGAATGTACTTGCCTGCATGCGAGATGGTGCATCCGTGAACACTGCAGCCATCCGGAACCTCGAGCAGCTGTTTCCTTCATTACTGGATGTGACGTGCTTCAGCCATACGCTCGACCGTGCTGGGGAGAATTTCAAGATCCCCAATACAACAGAGTTCGTTAATGCCTGGGTCTTGCTTTTCTCACACTCATTCAAGGCTCGGCTAGCTTTCAGGGAGCGGACAGGCCTGAGTGTGAAGCTTCTATCGAAAACGCGCTGGTGGTCAAGATGGGAGGTGATTCAGCAAGTGGTGGAAATGTTCCCGGACGTCCATGGCTTTGTTGCATCGCAGACCGACATCGCACCTGCAACGGTGCGCAAGCTTCTCGCATTGCTCGATAATGCACAGACGAGAGGGCTGATTCAAATCGAGATGGCTGCTGTGGTTGACGCTGGTGAAGTAATTGTCAAGTCCACCTACAATTTGGAAGGGGATGGCCCTCTCGTGCTCATCGCTTATCAAGTCATTAAGAATGTGCAGGCATCGGTGCAAATGGCCAGCTTCCCGAAGGCCAGGCCAGGAGGAGACCCAGCAGAACCTGCGATCGTATGGCATTCAGTGCGTCGAGCCTGGCTTGAAACACTTCTGCAAGAAGTTCATTGGTGCTGATGGAACTCCAGCCGAGTTTGAGAAGCAGATGAGCTTTTTCAAAGTTGCAAGCCTCTTCAACCCGCGCATCATGGCTGACAGGAAGCCATCTGTGGAGGACTTCAAGAGTGCAGTCGCCAGCCAGCCGACAATTGCATCTCTGGCAAATGCTGTTGCTGCTGAAGTCCCTCGCTATGCAGCAGCTGTTGATGAGCTGGATTCGTCCGTGCAGCCACTCAAGTGGTGGCGTCGCCACGCTGATGATCTGCCTGCCTTGGTCAATGCATTGAAGGTCGTGCTATTGGTCCAACCATCCAGTGCGGCAAGCGAGCGAGTCTTCTCCCTGTTGAATGGTTTGATCAGCAGCCGACAAGAGTCAATGTTGGAGGAGACTGTTGAGGCCACATTGATGGCACGAATGAATGTCGAGAAGTTTTGCACAGACGATCTACCTTCACCTTAGTTTTTGATTTGATTGAAGTTCTGGTCCAAGCCTTGCAATGATCTCGTCAGCTTCTATTATTTTATCTTCTTACCCTTGCTAGTGCCATGGCAATGTTAGGATCTGTGCTGTCATTTCTTGATGAAATAATTATATTATCCTGTCGCTTCTTGATCACTCAACGATCTTGATCTTGATTTTCCACTCCGTTTGCCATGGTTTACTCCAGTAATTCATTGCTTACGCTGTCAATTTGTTCGAGATTTTTATTTATCTCTTCTTGATCACGATGAGTAGTCAACCCTTCTTGATCCAACGATTTTCATTTTGATTTTCCACCTTGTTTACTTCAGTATTTCGTTGCTTACGCTGTCAATTCGTTCCTTGGTTTTTTATTTATCTCTTCTTGATCACTATGAGCAGTCAACCCTTCTTGATCCAATGATGTTCCACCCCGTTTACTTCAGTAATTCGTTGCTTACGCTGTCAATTCGTTCCGCTCGCTATCGCGTGCATTCAACAAATGCTCATGGAAAGTCTGTGGGTTCTGGGCTCAGTGGGGTGGCATATTGCATGTTCTAAGGTGCTTTGGGTATTGATTGACTGTAGAATCCACTCAGATAGTGTCGATGGTGCTGCAGTGCAGTCACAGTGCAGCCAGCACGAACCATGTCGACACAATCATTCAAAGGCAGGGAGCATTCTGCCACTTTCAGCATGATTTTCCTCATTTTGCTGGCAAAATCTCGATATTTTGCTCGTATTTTGCCGGCAAATTCTTCTTCTGAAATCCTCGATATTTTGCTAGAAGAATTGCTAGCAAATTCGGGTCTGCCCTACCTGGGGGGGGGGGGGCTGTCACATGACATAATTGACTTCACTGGGGAATAGGGATTGGGGAGTAGGCATAGCCCGATTTTGCTAGCAATTCTGCTAGCAAAATGTCGAATAATTTTGAAAGGGAATTTGCTGGCAAAACGGAGCAAAATATCGATATGTTCGCTGGAATTTGGGAGATTTTACACTTATACCGTGCACGTGACTCATTTTCGCACAGGTTTCCCAACACGTGACTCACTTTTTCTCATTTATTCCAACACGTGACCCACTTTCGGTCAGTTGTCCCACATGTGACACAAATTTCGGAGCAAAAAGGGAGCAAAATATCGAGTGGCCCGGCAAAATGAAAGCAAAATATCGACGATGAACCAGCAAAATTTTGCAGCAAAATATCGAAGTTTCGCTGGCAAAATCGGGCTTTGCCTATTGGGGAGAGCTGCTGTCATGTGACTACTACATGTACTTACCACTCCTGGCATAGTTACTAACAGTTAGTATGTGACTCCAGCAGCAAATGTCACTATGCATGTGCCCTGCGAGGGATCCAACGCATAACACGCAACAAGAGGATCACCCGCGCACCATATCATCAGGAGCGAGTCAACAGTAACCCGCGTATGAAGCAATCACGGCAATAATGGGTATCCCCCCTCCCCTCCGTCATTACTCCAAGCATTACCTGGATGCATAGTTCCTGTGATCGGTTCTTCTTCTAACAGCTGACTGCCCACATTAGGCAAGGTCAGTGAACGATCCTTAGAAGCGGTGCTGGTCAGTGTAGGCCGGGCATGGGCTGCAGCAACGCACACACACGCACACACGTGAGAGACAATTCAATTTGCAACCGGTTTCTCTTCAACGAGATAGAAAGTGCACTTGTGCTGCGTTTATCCAGGCGGTCCTTGACCAGATATTGACCGTAACTTTGATTTTGCAACTGCAACGTCCGTAACACTGACTTAGATACGTTTTGATGCGGAAAGGCCGGAGATAGGGCATATGACATAACTAGTCCCACAAAAAATGACACAAGAGTAGTTAGTCATGTTTCCACTAAAACTCGAGCAAGGTAGCCCGGTAGACCCCCGAAGTGTCTGTGATTTTGGTGTTCGGATAACTGAGGGGCGAGTGTACAGTGAATACGAACAAAATGCAGGCGGCGATTTTATTTCACCAATACTAGGGTTTTGGGCACCTGGCCAGAATAGATCAAATCTCCGTCAAAATTTGGAACTTCGAGGTTGTCGGAGAGTGAGGTTCAGAATGCACGCGTGCTTTTGGAGGAAATTACGGGATAGGAGAGTGGTCAGTTCCA